AAATCATTAACTAATATCTAATAATTAATTAATATCTAATTTTAATAATTTATTTAAGAAAATCAAATATTTTATAATTATTAAATAACAATAAAGAAAAGACAAATGGACGTCAAAATAAAATTGGCTCAAATATATTTTGCACTTGACATTTGTATTCATATCAATTATTAGTTTTATTATTGTCAATTATCAATTTTATCTTGTGATAGTAAAATTTAGGAAACTTGATGGATTTTATAAAAATATCGATTTAATCTTTATAATGTTGCAAATATGTATAGACAGTGAATATAAAATATTCTACAATAAATCTTCTTTTATAAAAATACAAAAATTTATAATAAAATTGGATGATCGCGTTGTTATCAGTACATGAGTTGATTAAAAATTAATATCAGATGTACCAGATTTTTAAAAACGCCGCTAACGTCCATAAAACAAGATGTAGGCTATTTTTGTCTATATTATTCATTTCTCATGTATTTTTTTATATTATTGTTACTGAATATTGCCTGTATTAAGTAATAATATAAAATACTGACGAGATACGAGAGAGAGAGAGAGAGAGAGAGAGAGAGAGAGAGAGATTTAGGCAACCAGTACGCATTCGGCAACTCTCCTCTATATTCATTAATATACATTAATTATTAATGCAACATTAAAATATGAAATAAATAGTGAAAAATAATAAAACTAATATAAATTATGATTAAAAGAAATTTAATCTAAAACTAAATAAAATATGGCATCGAAAAGTTGATTAACGTAATGACGTGTCACAAAACGATATATTAATGATTCTCATCAAGAATAATGTTAATTGTCAGATTCAAAGTAATATATACCTGTATAGCAATCATAACAGCGAGACCAAAAGCAAAGGAAACTTGTATCATAGATGGCCCAATCCCAGGGATATACGGCTTCATACTACCCATGCATGCCATGCACCCCAGAAAGATTAGAATTGTGGTTCCAATCAATTCTCCTAGGACAGCCATGGACTTGTCCCACGTGCTATCTTCCTCCTCCTCCGTCTTCTTTAGCCCTGAGATGTCAACGGACAGTTCCGTCATTATCACGTCCATATAATTTATACTGCATCGTCGTTATTATATTATATATACGTATTCGTCGTGATACAAAAGAATGACCGCAAAAATCGCCCGTTTTTGGATCCTCAATTTTGAGACTGAACTCTGTGTCCAATGATACCTTATAATGAGACATTAATCACAGAGAAGTTTCAAGTTGAGGTGACAATTGTTTTCAGAGCTGGGGGGGAGGTGGAATCAAAGTCTATTATCGAATTAGCATTATTATAAATCTACGAAGTCCGGTATTTTAAGAAACTTGATCCAGCCGATGAAGGCAGGATCGCGATCGAGCTTTATACACATATATATATATATATATATGTATATTTTTGCGGAATTGTATTTATTTCATCTAATTTTTGCTTTTTAGCGTTGTAAATTTATCGCAAGTTGTTTACGACAGTGAATGCATTTGAAATGTTGTCGACAACATAAAACTTATCATCTCTCTTCCGTTTTTGTTTGTTGCAACCTAAGCAAATGGTTGTAGGCATTATGTAACTAACAAAGTACAAAATGTCAAAAAATGAAGCAATTCAAATATAATTTTAAAAAATATTAATGTCCTGAACTCTATGCGTCTCTGTCTCACTTTGTTCACGTACTATTACTAAAGTGAGACAGACGTACCCATCACGCATAGCTGTCACTCTCGCACAGTCAGCCGCCCCTCTCCAGCGTTAGCATAGGGAAGATTCACTTTAGTATGTATATAGCTCACTGTGGCGAACGCATTTCTGCAGTCTTATGTAAATGACGCTTTGAATGTAAAAAAATCGGATTTTCGCATAAACGTAATATACCTACATAATTAATACGTGACACCCCCTCCAGCTATGATAACAATTATCACCTCAACCTGAAACTTCTTTGTAATTAATATCTCATTGTAGGGTGTCATTTGGCACACAGTTCAGTCCAAAAATTGAGGACCCAAAAAAACAGGCGAAAAAAAATCCTTTTTCATTCTTTCTAATTGAATTTATGGTTTTATGAATTTTATTTCTCATGGAAAAGTAAATATACGAGCATTCCGTAATCACTTTCGATAAAAGACAACCGTAAAAGACATCCGTACCTCAAAAAATATTTTTATAAATGGTAATGATGACAGAGTAATTCTATTATTTAAATTTCTATAAAATATAAATCGGCGAATATATTACTAAAATCGTAAAGCTTAAATTGCGATATTAGAATCGTCAAACTGCACGAATAATTTCGTGAGACAATACGAATTGTCTCACGACGAGAAATAAAACACTATAATTTTGTAGAGAATACACGTCACTCTCGTGTCTTTGTGTATGTGTAAATGAACACTTGTTTAATCTGAAAGACTTTTCATGCTGTACTCTGTTACTTTCTTCATACGATTACCTGATAATTCATCAAGAATCTTTAATTATGCAAGACTGCTAAAGATAGCTCGAATTGAGCCGAAACATTCGGTTGTTATGTTTATGTAAGATTGGAAATATATGTTGTTGATAATGTAATCGCACTAACTACCGTGTATTAAGGCTCTTAATTGCCCGTTTTTTCTATTTAATATGAACACTTGTATTCTCATTATCGATTCGATCTCGTAAACGTACACCAGCAACGATGTTTAATTAAAGAGCAATTATTATACATACAAGGAGAGTCCAACGGCGCACGATGGGTCAGATGACCCGAAATCTTGGCCAAAATTCAAAATGTTGATAGATTGACATAAAACTCGATATCTAAGGGTTTTTGGGATCACTGATTTCAAATCCAAACTCAAAATTTAGAAATTCAAAATGGCGGATCCAACATGGCGGACGTGAATGCTAAAAATGCTAAAATTGCTATTAAATTTGGTATTCAGAGGTTTTTGGAATCTCTGATTTTTAATCCGAACTCAAAATGTAGAAATTCAAAATGGCGAACTCAAAATGGTGGATCTAAACTTTTTAACTTTATCGGAGTTACACAAAGAGCAGTTATTGATATTATTTTGAATCTATGATGCTATTATAAATAGATTTTAGATCGCGGTGTTAGACTAAAAATAATGAACTACAATAAAGGAATTAATTTTAAAAAATCATTGTAAATACATAGTGTGTTTTACGGAACGATCATAATTTAAAATTAAATTTATAATATAAAGAAACGTGGGTCAGGCAACCTGAAATCTTGGCCAAAATTTGAAATATGAAACGATTGGGCTATAAAGTCTTACCCGGGGGTTTTTGAGATCGCTCATTATGAATTTATGGTCAAAATTACAAAATTACAAATTTCCTTCATTAACGTTATTGAGTGGATTAGTACATTGAATATCTCCATACAGCTAAGAATAACGCTCAAGGTATATGCTTGTAGTAGATCTTTTTGAAAGAAATGAAAACGAGCAAAATTGAGCAGGTCAAGCTCAAAGTACACATTTTACTAAACAAAATGATACCTCATTTTTTTCACTTGGATGTGAAGTTTAGGTGTGGCGAGAATCAACAACGCGTACACATGAAAAATCAATTTACGGTTGAATAAATTGTACCAAACATATTAAACTTACATATTTTCTTAATAGCCATTTCACTTATTTCATAATCTTTTAATATTTATTAATGGAAAAATACCAAAAAAACTGCATATTACGAAATTATTCAAAAATTCATTAACGAATGCATTATGCTCTCCATTATTGATTTTATGTGGTTTTCTAAGTTCAATGTACCGCGTAATGATATTAATCAATGGATATACATGTAAGAATCAGTTTTTAAGTACTCTGAAGTGTTTACAAAACGATAAACAGTTTCTTTTCTTTAAATTCTGTATTTAGTTTTTGGCCAAGATTTCGGGTTGCCTGGCCCACTGTGCGGCGGTATATTTTTATTTCTGTTCATTACGTAAACTGAGATCGTTGAATGTATAATCGAAAGAGGTCAAGATATAAAAGTTCGGCCATTGAATGTAACCATGTAACGAGAACGTTTTTAAAGACAAACAATATAATACACAAAAACGATGATAATACATACACAAATACGCAGATTCAAATAACCAATCACCAGTTCTTTTAAATCATTAGTGTTAGAATGATACATCTTTTTAAGTGTATCTTTATTCTAATATACATATAAGTGTATATTAAAGTGTGAAATTATCCTATCTTGTTAATTTTTTATATTTAAAAAGAAAGAAAACTCAACATTGTCTCAACATTATCTTTTATTTTCACAATTACCGCCATTAAAAATCAGTAATTTTTGGAACTATCTACAGTATACGAAATTAATTCAAAGTTAATTCTTTGTAAGACGATTAAGCGATATTTAGGTAAATTGCTTCTCTTGAAATTTTGGTATTCAAAACTTGCAGTGTTTTTATGTCAAGTTCTCGTTTGATAAAATAGTCAATTGTTCTTTAATGAATTCCAAAAGTATAATAGTTTTCGGCGGAGAAGCGTTTTTGGATCGACAGGCAGGATAACTTGGACTGTCACTTTGTTGTAAACTTTCGAGTGGAAACTTTGTTCGCTCCACGTCGAATGCGATTACTACTGGTATAAACCTGGGGTGGGATGGGTCAACGTTGAATTTACATGAAAGCATCGTTGGAGTTATGCACATCGGAGGTCGATATTCGAGCGTTGTTGAGAACGTTGGACTTCAATAATTCTCCACTGAATGTCGCTCCGTTGAGCGTTTCCTGCTCTTTTTTCTTGACAAGGTGGCATAGTTTCCTCTGACGTTCGTGAAATTCACTCGTTGTAATTCTCACGGGGGCTAACAGTAAAATTTTCACGAAAAGAGGGGAGAGCTTTTTGAAATTTTCTCTCGAGAAGTCAAAAGTTGAACTGAATCATAGTTTGCAACAATTAAATTAAAGTACACCCTTTGAACAAGCTTACCATCATTTTCGTATTATTTTGCCATGCAATTTATTTCGTTTTGCATATTTTAATTTAGTTTGAAGTACTAAAGTTAAATGCGTAATAAAGGATGAATAGTTTTCTTTTCCACTTTCCACGGTTTTCTGTTTTTCCAACTATATGCTATATTTTAATATTAATATGAAATATATCGAACGCTCACGTTCCACATGTCTTGCATTGAAATTATATGCATGTTGAATAATAATCTTATCAATCGGGTCAATATTTCATCTCTCAGGCGCCTGTGCAAAGAAGTATTATTAACAGTCAAGTAATCTACAGTCAGAGGTCAAAACTCACGACATTTCTTCTTATTATCCAGACTTGATTTTATAACGATTTATCATGCTAACAAAACGTTATAAAATTGGCCAAAATATATATAATATTTTAAATAATTTTACAAAGCTTATTTTAATATTATTTTAAATGTACGAGTGAATAGAGTTCACTTGTTCCAGTTAATTTGTTCAACATAAATGAACAATTATATATTTTTGTTAATTTTTATCTTTATCATATTTTATTTAAATATTATTCTTTATTCTAAAATCTTTGTGTATCATCATTTTTATCTCGTTGTTGTAGGAAAATTTTAGACATCTATAGATATCTGGAAATAATGATATCTTGTCTTTCTCTTCATTTTACGACTAATTCAGCGATGAGATATTTGTTCTCTACACTAAGTATAAAATTGGTCAATCTATTTATGTGTGCGATGTAAAGAAAAATATTAATTAAATCATATACGGCACGTGTTGTTGTGTATATTAATTTAATCAAACACTTGTTAAAAAAATATGCACGTGATTTTATTGTTTAATTTTTTGCTATAATTAATTTTTACAGTAGCGAATACAATATCCATTATCTACTTTTCGAAATCAAAAATTGATAACGTCCACAATGTTTCTATACGAAACACAAAAAATTATTAATTATTAATTATTTTTAATAATATTATTTTAATTATTATATTCTAATTGTTATATTACGACAACATATATATTATTTTTTATGCACAATTATTTTCGC